TATATATATATATATATTGTGTTTTTACTTTTGCATATAGATAAGAACGTTGATCATTGCAGCCACAATGTAAAGGAAAGTCTTGACTCCATCCCTGGGGCAACCGACCTCTTGCTGAGGTCACCCGGCTCTACGACTCTTGGATGCTGTTTGTGCAAGAGCGTGTCGAAACTAGCCATTGCGCACCTGAGACTTTCTTGTATATCAAGCCTGCGCCTACAGCAGTTTTGCGTTTTCCACGTACTAGGCACACTGACAGTGAGATGAGCCACTCGTGCGAGAGGCTTTTGGATCCAATAGTTGAGCCTTTCGTCTCGCTGCGCTGCTGTTTCATCTCTCGTGTTCCCGTCTGGAGAAACCCTAAACCTTATTGCCCTAAATCCAACATCGCTGAAGGTCATGGACTCGCAGTAACTTTGCACTTGACGCTATTGAAGAATCTGGCTTCGTTCGGATGGGCTGGTATAGCCACCAGACTTCCATCTCCAGTCCTTATGAGTTTCCGGACCCAAGTTTTCCTTCAATCAGCTCAGCGACTCCCCCCAAAACCCAATAAGCCCTACCCTACAACGAGTGGAGTACAACTTCGCCGAAGCTTTCATTTCCTGGCCATTCCACCGGGCCCATGTGCTGGACGCCATGGCAAGTATGGGTCGCAGGCAATCTGCATTTTTTGGGGGGTAGCGCCAGGCGAACAAGCGCTTGGGGCGAAAGCGCAGTGATCACTGAACGTCTCAGCTTGCATTGCTACGAACCCTACAGATGACCTTTTGGAAGAATCGTTTCCGGTAAGGTGTATTGGTGACATTTGGTAACACTGACACTATCTATGATTTCAGCGCATTGCGGGGTGGTCATTCTCAGAACGGTTTGCCGCCCAGCTAGCTGCTGAAAGCCCTAGAAACCGAAAGTGTGAAGCACTCGTGACGGCCGGGTCCGATGCCCTGCCCCAAAAAGGCACTGCATGCATGAGGCAAATCAACTCTGAAGTCGTTGGCTCGGAACATGTTTCGGGATGAGTTGGGAGTTGGCACATTCAGCCAATATATGTCATTAACTTAGCGACCGTCTAGACCAAAACACCTGTCGCTCGGTTCAGGCCGAGTGTGCCGGCGGCACGGCGCTTCTCCAACCGCTCCCCTCGAAAGGGGCCACCCCCGCAGATGGCTTCTTGGACACTCAGGGTACTCTATAGGGCATCATAGCTTGCTGGAATCCGTGGATTCTTCTTGAGGTTGGTGACCTTGGCTGTGATTTCCTTGCCACAGCCTCCCCTTGTACCCGACACGTGACCTGCTAGCTAGTGGTTGGTAAAATCCTAGAGCGATTTGTGGTTTCTGGTAGTTTGCACGCTGGGGTGTCAGTTGGTACTTTACCAACGTACAATTACATCGAAAATCCCATGTTGACCCGAGTCCTCGGAAAGACACAAGCAGACTAAGCCATAGACCCTACAAGCCCCAAACACGCGAAAGCTCACGCTCCACGTGTGGTTTATGATGTTAGGTCAGGTTCTTACATGATGTATGAGTCTATGAGGCTTCCTTGCTTTCCTACCTTTCGCATGTCATAGTATCAACCTTATCTCTGATGGGCCTCCCCGATTCCGCTCCTGCCCTAAACTGCTCGAGGTGTGTGACCACAGGGCTTTGGACACTTGAGGCTCTACAAAAAGATGCTACGGGTCGATCCAAGAGCTCCGAAATGCTCCGAAACTAGTCGACGTCAAAGTGCTGCTGGCACTGAACAAGACCGATACTGTTTCCTTATCATGTGTATAATAAAACCTCCATCCCCAAACACATGAATATACATATATACATACGTACATACATACCTACATTCATCCATCGATCCATCCAGCGATCCATCCATCCATCCATGCTTGCATCCATGCATGCATGCATGCATGCATGCATGCATGCATGCATGCATGCATGTATGTGTGTGTATAAGTAAGAGAGAGAGAGAGAGACATAAATTGTGTGTGTGTGTGTATATATATATATATATTTATGCCGACGCAGACGCATCCCTGGCATACATATGTACATATCGCCCTGAGGGTTGATCAAATAGCACAGGTTGTTCGCAGCTTCCTGACAGAGGCCTGTTCCTGCGTGGAGGAGACTTGTAGGAAGGTCTTGAGAACAGCGGAACAGTTTGGGCTTCCCGCAGCTTAAAATTGACATGATGATCCGTTCGGGCTTGTTCCTCTAGGGGAAGCATGCATTCCTGAACGGAGCTGCACGCCAATCGACTGCTTCTGATTACAGCCTTTCCCTGTGTACTGCAGAGGCAGAGTCCACGATCCTGAGGGCCTGGATCAAGAATTTCGACCCAGAGAGCCCCAGCGGCAAGATTGGGACATGAACAAGATGCTCTGGGTCAAGACCGCCAGGCTAGGAAGGATGCTGGCAGTCGCAGGCGTCGTTGTCCAGTCGTCCTGCCGTTTTTATCTTCGTCAAAGTCGTCACACGCGGTCAAGGCCGGAATGAGCGGCAAAGTGCTTTCGCAGCTGAGGTACAAACTGCACATTACGACAGATCAGACGCTTGGACCTGCTTCGGCGCCTGTCTATTCCTAAACGAAACCAGGGATACCTTTTGAAAAGCCTGTATGCGACAGCTCCATCCACGGCTTCGATATGCAAAATGACACCGAGGCGGCTGTAGCACCATTAACGAGGTCCTTCAACTAGTATAGCTACAATGTAGGAAGGAAGGCTTCTGGATCTGAGGACATGTGGAGGAGTGCTGTCCGAGGGCCGCAATAGCACTAAATCCATGCACCTATGGCCTGGAACTCCAAAACAAAAATCCTCACCCATCGACTTTGCAACGCTCCGAGCGGAACTTGCGCAAAGCTTCCTGAAAAGTGCCAGTGGTGCATATGGAGTAGGCAAAGTTAGTCACCAGTATATTTAGTAACAGCCAAAACCCAGGTTTTGCATGGGTATGGAAGAGATGGGCTACTGCGACGCGGCAGAAGCTGGCCCCCGCCCTCCCGAGTGGCAGAGCGCGGCACAGAGCTTGTCATACCTTGGCTCTCCAAAACACAAGCCTCAGAGTTTTTAGTCTGGGGCGTGGGGTATGAATGCGCAATTGCTCTTGTAGACTGACTTTTGCTTCAATCTTGCACGGAAGACTGACGACTCCTGACCTCCTGCAGCACCCCAGCGCTGTGGTGCATGTGGCAGCCGACGGTGAAATATAACCAGGTGTGGTTTCGGAAGCAGAAATGATCAGATTGAAGCTCTATCTACTGCAAAAGCTATGACAAACTCCAGTGTGATTTGCACTTGGTTTGAGGCGGCGATGTCTACTTGCTCTTCCAGCGCCTGGACGTCGATAACTCTGGCAAGCTTACCTTAGATGAGATCGACGAGGAGAGAGGGCTTGCCTGGCCCCAAAAAGAACGTTCCTGCACAGTAAGACAGGGGCCTTACTAAATACAATAGAGTTGAATAGAGTTGTTTTTGTTCGTCGGTTTTGTGTATGTGTTGATAAGTTTTGCGGGGATTGCCATGCAGGAGCCACAAGTAAGCAGGAACCCCAACATTAACATAGTATTGGTAAGTATGTGGGCCCCTGTATTATCGCTCTCTGCCTGACTAAGACGGGTCACAAGCCACTCTCGAGTATCATCTTGGCTCTGACAGGGATTAGGGTGACTTTTGTCATTATCATGATTTGTCTTGAAGATTCGTGTTTTCATAATTAGCTTGGTGTTTTCTGTTCTTCTTACTAGTAGTTAGCATTATTTAGTATTGGTATAATTCGTTCTTCTAGTGCTATCAGGGCTATCAGTGTTACTTCTAGTTTTAGTTTTCTTATTACGAATCTCAATCCCACCCCCCCCCTTCCATCTTTCAAAACCCGCGGCCCCACCGCTTCGGATCGCGTGAAGGAGACTGCACGCCTTTGGCTTTGCTTCAAGCAGCTCGGCGCCGACCTGGGCCTTCGTACCTGGGGGTATTATAGGGGCCTAAATACTTACCAATACTATTTTAGCCTACTAATTAGTGGTTCCTTATGATAATTATAGTATAATGGGCCCCAGAACACGGTTCAAATTTGTAAGGCCCCTACATTACCTTCATATGAGGGGTAGCCCCTATAGACCCTAAACCCTGTCAGCTGTGCGGGTGGGAAAAAAAGGCCCCCATGTCAGGATCCGTTTCACTGGCGTCTCTCAAATCAGCGTCCCTGACAGCATGTCGTGCCGGTTTGAAGGACCTGGTCAGCCTCGCGGCTCAGCTGTTCCGGCATTATGCTTGGAGTTCTCCCTTAGGCATATTGCAGGCTTGGAGCGTTGCCGAGATCTCCGAAACACCTGCAGGAACATAAGTCGCCTCGAGTCGATTCGAACTCTGCCGAGGCAGTGGTGCGTCACGAACTTCGACAGTCCGCTGGACATGGTCTACAAGCTGAGCCGGGGGAAGGACACGCGATCTCAAACTAGTTGGATGATGCAGCTGCTCCCGTCCCACTACCTGCTGTAGTGATATGTACCGGATTGGTGCTATTTGAAGACAGATGGTGACCGGATCCATCTTCCAGCCGATATTTTTTGTTTTTTGAGGTTGCAAAACCTAAAGCCCTAAATCGCCTAAACAACTTGTGTTCAGGATTACCTCAGCGAGGATGACTTCGTTCAGCGGTGTAAGATGTTTGACTGGAAGGCCGGGCGCAAGGGCGGCAACAGCCAAGCACTGTAGGCCTCCGTTCGAAAATGCAGTTTAGGGTTTAGGGTCATCTGCAGCTCGATATTTCAGACGTTTTCTCTCCACCCGGCAGACGGCTGCGAACATGCCGCTCCTGGTGAGTCCTTAGGCTGTGGCTCACAAGACACCGGCTCACGGCCGGGGTAAGCACATCTTTCGAAGACCTCTGTTTTCTGTAATTGCAACAGAGCGACTTGCAAGGATGGACGCGAAGACGTGCTTTGGTCTGGGAGTCTTGGCTCTGAGTCTGTCAAACCGAGAATATGTGTCCCGACGATGCTGCAACATTCGCACCATTCCTGTAAATCTTACGATTAGGACGATTATAAGGAAGCATCGAAACCCAGTCGATCACCTGATGCTGAGGGTTTCCCTCTCCGGCGAAGAGTACGTGCGTCCCGAGTCCCT